GCTGAGGAAGACTGGCCCTGGGCTAACATCCATGCCCATCTTCCTCTACTTTATATGGGACGCCGCCACAGCATGGCTTGACAAGCGGTGCATCGGTCTGCGCCTGGGATCCGACCTGCGAACCCTGGGCTGTCGAAGCGGAGTGAGCGAACTTAACTGCTATGCCACCGGGCCGGTCCCCAAAATTTTTAATTTCAATTGTAAAACTTTGATTCTATTCATTTGTAACTTCCCCCCTACAAATTGGGAAGATAGCACCATTGTCTGAACAACAACAGCAAAATCTTTCAGTCTAAGAAGAGTTTTGAATTGGGATAATCACAATGGTCTTGAGAGCCCACCCCTGCCCAGGAATTGCTTTGAGTTTAGGGCACACAGCTCACTCTGCAGTTGTCCTGTTCACATCGAGGACATCTGAGGAAAGGAGGAGATGTTACCATGTCTACTTTGGAAGAATAATGAGATTCCACGTGTCCTCTGCTGTGAGGCGCTTCCCCAGCCCTCAGTCCAGCCGGTGCAGGCCTAGGGGCCTCTCCTTCTCTCCCATCATTAGGGATTGTATTAGTCAGCTCAGGCTGCCATAACAAAATACAATAGACTGGATGGCTTAAACAACAGAAACTTATTTCTCACAGTTCTGGAGGCTGTGAAGTCTCAGATCAAGGTCCAGCAGGGTCAGTTTCTGGTGAGAGCTCTCTTCCTGGCATGTAGGTGGCTGCCTTCTCACTGTGTCCTCACATGGTAGGGAGAGAGAGTGAGCTCTCTGAGATCTCCTCTTGTAGGACAGTGAACCTACCAGGGCCCCACACTTATGATTTCATTTAACCTTAGTTTCTTCCTTTCTCCAAAAACAGTCACAATGGCAGTTAACTCTTCAACATATGAATTTTGGGGGGATACAATTTGGTCCATAAGATTCCATCCTTGGTCCCCCAAAATTCATGTCCTATTTGCATGCAAAATACATTAATTCCATCCCAACAGCCCAAAAGTCTTAACTCATTCCAGTGTCAACCGTCAAGTCTAAAGTCCCACCTAAATATCATTTAAATCTGGTAAGTATGACCCTTGAGGTACATTCATTGTGAGGCAAAATTCCTCTCCAGGTGGGAACCTGTGAAACCAGGCAAGTTACACACTTCCAAAATACAATGGTAGACAGGCATAGGATAGAGATATGGGTGAAATCCAGAGGAAGAAATGGGTGATGGGTCTCAAGCAAGTCCAAACCCTAGCAAGGCAAACTCCATTCTATCTTAAGTCTGGAGAATAATCTTCTTTGGCTCGCTGCCCTGCCTTCTAGACCCACTGGGGTGGCTGTTGTGCCTTCAGGACCCAGTGGGGCAGTGGTCCCACCTCCACAGCTCTGCTAGGTGGGGATCCTGCCCCCAAGACTCTGGACAGCCCCACCTCCAAGGCTTCAGTGAAAGGCATCTGGCCTGTTGAAACCAAGGCAATGGCCCCACCCTTTGAAACCAAGGAGGCAGCCCTGATAATCTCTGAATTACCTGAGGGGTCATTCTCCCCTTTTCATTCTTTTTTTTTTTTTTTGTGAGGAAGATCAGCCCTGAGCTAACATCCAATGCCAATCCTCCTCTTTTTGCCAAGGAACATTGGCCCTGCGCTAACATCCGTGCCCATCTTCCTCTACTCTATATGGGACGCCGCCACAGCATGGCTTGACAAGCAGTGTGTCGGTGCGCACCCAGGATCCGAACCTGCGAACCCTGGGCCACTGAAGCAGAGTGCGTGCGCTTAACCGCTACGCCACTGGGCCAGCCCCTCCCCTTTTCTTGAAGAATAGCACACATTTGAATAGTTCTATGATCCCGTTCTATAGGATCCAGAAAGTTCAACAGCCTTCCTTCATTTTGTCTCCTTCTCTCTGTCCCCTTTATTCACACTGGCAGTGTCTCTGCTGAATAATCACATCCCTCTTCCCGGCTGCTGCTGAGATGGCTGATGAAGTCCCTGAGCTGCACTCATGATCTCTTTACTAAATGGTTATTTAGCCATTTAGTAGTATTCTCTTCAGAACAAGCTTTCTCATTTTTTTATGATATGGCTAGGCTGATAATTTTCCAAATGATCAAGTTCTGGTTCATTTTTGCTTAACAATTCCTTCTCCAATCCATCTCTCTCCTTCCACATGTTCCTAGGAGTCAGGAGGGACCAAACGGCTCCTCCAACACTGTGCTTGGAGATCTCCTCAGCTACATATCCAATTTCATTGCTTGTAGGTTCTACTGTCCCTAAAACAATAGAGCCAAGTTTTTGCCACTTTACAACAAGGATCACCTTCCCTCCAGTTTCCAATAACATGCTCCTCATTTCCATCTGAGACTCACCAGAATCGCCCTTAATGTCCATATTTCTAGCATGCATGTCAAAAATCTGCCAGCCTCTACCCAGTTCCCAGTTCCAAAGCCACTTCCACATGTCTAGGTATTTGTTACAGCAGCACCTCACTTCTTGGTACCAAAATATCTGTATTAGTCAGGGTTCTGAAGAGAAACAGAAGCATATATTTATGGTTATATACATATATATCATAAAGAATTGGCTCACATGATTATAAGTCCCAAGATCTGCACTCAGCAAGCTGGAGACCCAGGAGAGCCGATGATGTAGTTCCAGTCCAAGTACAAAGGCCTGAGAACCAGGAAAACTGATGATGTAAGTTTTAGTCCAAAAGCTGGCTGGCCTGAGACCCAAGAAAAGCTGATACTTCAGTCTGAGTCCAAAGACAAGAGAAGAACAATGTCCCAGCTCAATAGTCAGGCAGGCAAAGTTCCCTCTTACTCAGCCTTTTTGTTCTATTCAGGCCTTCAATTGATTAGATGAGGCCCACCCACATTAGAGAGGGCAATCTGCTTTACTCAGTCTACTGATTCAAATGTTAATCTCATCCAGAAAGGCCCTCACAGATACATCCAGAGGGTGTGACCAAACATCTGGGCACCCGTGTCCCAGTCAAGCTGATCCATAAAATTGCTCAACAACAGGGATCATCCAGGGAAGTCACAATAGATGATTTAAATCTTTCCCTCAACAAGCTTTGACCGAGCACATGATAGGTGCAAGGTCCAATTCCTAAGACTCTTTGAATAACAGTTTAATTCTGTTTGATCTGATTTGATTCCAACTTGGAACAGATTGCTGCCACAGATGGCAAGCTCATCTCTGTAGAGGTCTTCCTGTAAATGCCAGCTGGAAGGCCTGGTCTAGTTCATGGTCTATGATTCTAGGCTATGATGGTAACACCGTCATGAAATGTGCAGGAGTCCTGGGAAGGCAAGGAGGGAGAGACTGTGCCAGATCAGTGCTTCTCAAGGAGTATAGGAATCACCTGGCAAGTGTGTTAAAATGCAGATTCTGATTCAGTAGCTCTGAGGTAGGACCTGAGATTCTGCATTTCTAACAAGCTCCCAGGTGATGCTAATGCTGCTGGTCCAGGGACCACACTCGTAGCAGCAAGGTACTAGATAAGCTTTAAGGTCCCTCTGATTCTTTAAATTTGGTCCAATTCAGCAAGTGCTCATTGAGAACTCAGTATGTACCATGATGCCATCAGGTAGGTAGCCAATAGAAGTATAAAATACGTTGCCTTCAACAAGCTACCTGCTGTTGAGAAAGCTGGACAAATAGCCCCAGGTCCCACAGAATGAGTGATGGCTCCACCTCTGGGTCAACCTGTGAGCGTCTGGTCTCAGAGAGGCATTCTCCCTGAAAGTTTTATATCAAGGCCCTCCCAAGAAGTTTGGTCTCCATATTTTTGAGGAAGCCAGAGACCTGAAATGTAGTAGTTTAGCCACCTAGAAAAATAACCTGAACAGAAGAATAAAAATAATGAAAAGAAGATCAGTTAGATGAAAAAGTGTAGGTTCTTTCTAAGGCCACGGAGGCAGCTGTAGTAGGCTACAGACCTGAGAAAACTAAGAGTGCACCAGCCTTATACACAGGTAGCCCTGGGAAAGGACCCAATAGTTTAGGGTCAGAGTTCTTCTAGGCAGCAGCAGGGTGGGGACACTTAGTGGGGAGTGGCTGACACCGTGGACTGGGTCACGTGCACCCTGATGGGAATGGCCATCGGGCCCGCAGAAGGGCCAGTGCTACCGAACAGTCCTTCCCCAAGCTAGGATGCCGTAGGTTCAACTTGGAGTGGCAGAGGTGGGGGAAGTTGGGAGCTAGCCCAGGAACTGGTAAAACTATAGACAGAGATGGGAGAAAGCAGTAGCTCTGGGCAGTGGGGTGGGGAACACTAGCTGGCACAAGAAAGGAAGGAGGCAGAAGGGCAGGGTGGACCCCTTATGGCCCTGGCTATTAAATGAACAGCCAGCCACCAGAGCCAACACACTTGCTGGGTCGGCCTTTTTATAGTGAACAGCCGGGCTAGTCTTGTGATGGTTGGTGAAGGCGGAATCTACTTCCCTGAACAATGCCCCACACACGCCCCAGTTCTCCAGCTCCTTCCATCCATGGAGGCTGGGCAGGTTGAGGGCAACTGGAAGACCTGATAGGGACCCTCCCTGTTTGGTCCCTTGGTCCCTTCCCAGCACGCGTGCGCGCGCGCGCACACACACACACACACACACACACACACACACACACACACACACTCCCCTAACCAGGCAGTGACTTGAGCTCAGAATGCCAGAGCTGGTGGGGGCTGGAAAAGGGGGAGGGGAGGGAAGGAAGAGGAGAATCAAACAGAAACCTTCTCATCTTTCTATCAGCAGCCATGCAAGGAATATTGTTCAGCCTGGCACAAAAGCGGCACTGAAAATAGCTGCAGCCGGAGCGGGCTGCCAACCACTGCCTGAGATAACGTCTACTTGGAGACACTGGGGTCTTTGTGGGGCTGTCAGTGTCCCTATTGTTCCTGAGCCTATTGCCTGGGGAATATTGTTCCCAGCTTTTGTCTCCCCAGCTCACTTTTGTTTGCCTTTACTTACCATTTCTTCCTCCTCCCTTTGTGCCCTCCAGTTCCCTCCTTTGTCTCTCCCTCTCTAGGCCTGCCTGTGGCTGTGGACTGGTGCCTAGGGAGACAATAGGCCCTACCCCCTCCCGACCTACGCCCCACCCTGAACCACGGCACCCCAGAGCTCCATTTGGGCTCTCCCTCTCCCGAGTGGCACCCAAGACGTCCCAGAGGCAGGAGAGCCTTGAGGGAGGGTCCAAGCTACCCACTCCCCTCCTGGTGACAGCGAGGAGAGCCCAGTGGAATATCTGCTTCCTGGAGGAAGTCTGAAATGCCTGCAGTGGGTCCTTGCTTCTTTCTGGATCTCCTTTTGTTAAAAAAATAGGTTTTTGGTCCGGTCAAAGGAAGAAGGACAGCTCCTGCTCCACACGCCCACACCCTCTTTAGGTGCCCAGCATTCACGTCTCTGACCAGGAGATGCAGTTTTCTTCCCCTCCCCCTCGGGCCTGGATCAAAGCGACTTCTGTTTATTTGCACATTCAAATCCAGGCTGCCTCCAGTAATCCGATCCAGGCAGGCGCCAGGAGGGGGCAAGGCAGGGCCCGCTTGCACCCCTCCCCTGTCTAACAGCCCTTTTGGCAGAACTGGGTAAGGAAGGGGACAGGGGTTTCCTAGGGTCAGAGTTAGGTACGGAAGAGGCGCTGGGCAGTGAGAAGAAACGAGACTGCCAATCCCTTCAGAACGGCAGCTGGTCCTCCCACCTCAATGGCAGGGGGAGACTAAGGCACCAAAAGAGATTTAGAAAATACGAGGACCAAACCCTGAGCTTGGCTGCCAAGGCCCAGCACACCAGGTGTGCACTGCGTCCTGGGGAAAGTCCTTCTCAGCTCTCCTTGGGAGAAGACAGGCCCCAGGCAGCACTAAGGGGCTGTGGCTGACTTTAGGTTTCAGAAGCGGTTAATAGAAAGCGCTTTCCTTCTGCCTCCCCCAACTTCCTGCCTCTCTGCAGATGGGGACAGTGATTGGAGAGCTGAGAAAGCTTTTACTTTGGGGGGAAGGCTGGGAGCAGGGATGTCAGCTGAAGCCAGAGAGGAGGCTCTCCTGTCTCATTGTTCTAGTTCCAAGGACAATGGGAATAGTCTCCAGAGAGTCATTGTTTCAAAAGCTGGAAATTGGGTAGGGGATTTCCGGAAAGTTTGAATGGAAGCCAAGCCTGGCTGAGAGGAGACCAGAGGAGGAGGAAGGGGAAGAGGAAGGGGAGGGGGCAGTCTGGGGTTAGGGAAACTACTCCTGGGCCCTGAGGACAAATTTGCTCTCCCCATTCTACTGCTCTCAACCCCAGACTGCTCAATTCTGTTCTGATTCTTGCTCTGCCCTTCTCCCCATCCCTGTTCTCCAGCCAAGATTAGCTGTAGATTCTTAATACTTTTGAGCCTAAAGAGAAGCAAAAATAACTTGTCCCTGCCTTGAGGGCAAGAATTGAGTCTGATTCACCTGTGCAACCCTAGCCCGCAGCAGTACAAGCTCAGGAAATGTGTGGAGAAGGAATGACTGAAGACAGCGTAGACTCTTGACCCTCCCGGGGTCAAACTCTCTTTGACTCTCCCGGGACTTCTAGGAGGGGAGGAATGGAATTGAGCTGAGAACAATCTAAAGGTGGGAGATCCTGAGGATTCGGGCGTAGATCAGGCACATGGTGCAGAAGGTGAGGTGTGGTTATTGGACAGAAAAGGAAAAGCAACGCAGAACAGTGTTTGGCATCTAGAACAAACTCCCCCGCCTCAGGCCTCTGTTTTCCTGCTCACCCTATGTAGTCCCAGCCATCCTTCAGAGATACAAATGTCATCCCATCTCTCTCTGTGTAAAGCCATTTGGTGACTTCCCCCTGCCTCCAAGCACCTGTGGGTCACTGAAATTGGAACTCCTCAAGGACAAGGCCATCCTGATTGTCCCCAGGACCCACCACAGTGACAGCTGCCTAGCCAGCACTGAAGCTGTTCTGTAAATGTGGAACTGAATAACTGGCAATTGTGTGAGTTAATGTTGCCAAGTCTACAGTGCTCCCTGGATGGTATTTTGATGCTTAATGTTTTATCTATTTTATAGCTATTGATTTGATCTTTGAAAATAGCCAAGGGCCATGAAAATTAAAACACTTATATTATATTTAGTTTAAAAATTGAGTCGTATTCCATCTAACTAGAATATAATTGACAACCAGGAAGTAAGTAATGTGTACTATAGAGCAACCAAAAGTAATGGCATAAAGGCAATATATTCAAGTTATTTGAGACAACAAAATATTTCCCTTGTAGCTAGGGATGGCCAATGAAGTGACCAATAAGTGGAAGAGGTGAGGTATCTGGGAACTTTGCGTAAAGGGGGCTGACTCAGGTGGATAGCATAGCTTTTTGCCCTTCTCACCTTCCTCTTTGTCCTGGCTGGAACGTGGTTTTGATGGCTAGAGATCTAGCAGCCATCTGGTGACCATGAAGAGATATTGAGTTTGAAAGCCTTGTGTTAAGAAGGCCAAACAGAAAAATAGACAGTTCTTGGGTCCCTGAGGACTGAGGAACCACAATGCTAGCCTCAAACTGCCTACCTATGAAGTTTATTTATGTGGAGTAAAAAAAGCTTTTATTAGATTAAGCCCTTTAATTTGGGCATTTATTATTATGAGTCAGACACAAGTCTCACTAACACAGTACCGTGACTAAATCAATAAGAAACTAAATTTCTATACCATTTCTTTCTGTTTGCTGAACTGGTAGGAAAAAGAAAAGGAATCAGAAGAGATACCCCATTGTGTACCAGAGCACATGAATGACCCTGTGGGTTTTCAAAGTGAAGTCGCAAGCTGAGTTTGGAGGCAGGAGCTAGAGAGAGCACAATTGCTCTGCACAATAAAGCAGGAAAAATCATTCTGAGGTGGCTGGGAGCAGTGAAGAGGCCAAGCAACATGCAGAAGATTGCTACGGATGGCGTACGGCATTAGAATGAAACGGCGGCTGATAGCCTGAAAGAAGAGAAGAGGGGACAATCTCTAAAAGAAGACAGAAGAACTAGAACAACACAGAAGTTTATTACCATTAATGCCACTCAGGGTAAATCCAAATAGTTCTACAGACTTCTTCAGATGCCTAAGGGGCATCAGGCTTTTACAACATTATACGAAAACAGACAACTGGAAATGGTGAGTGCATGCCATGAAAACAAGTCCACTCCGTGTAGTAAGGCAGGAGCCAAGTTCCGTGTCAAGACGGCAGGTGGAGCAGACGCTGAAACCTCCTCCGACTTCTCTGAACAAAAAAAATGAGGGAGAAAGGAGATTTTAAAACTCAGAGCCACAACTGAAAACAAGA